TGAAGAATTAGGTGTGAAATCACCAGGAACCATTTAGTCTCCAGCACCACCATTTTCTAGAACTGCAACCTATAGTCTCCAGAAGTACAAGGTGTCAGGTTCTCAGAGACTTACGTTAAGTATAGAATCAGAAAATGACCCCTACTTAACAAGAATCACATACTGAAGTGTAGTAAAATACTTGAAGACTGAATTTTTTTTATAGGCTTTATAGACAGATAAGTTGAGAGTGACTCTTGAAGGACCAGCACCACATCCTCTTGTACCACTGTTTGAAGAATTTATCTTCCAGAATCTGGCAGTAAGTTTTGGGAGTTCATTTTTAGTCCATCTCGAGATTTTATCTGTAGAAGATAACCTGCTCAATAATTATGCACACCTGAATATAAGGCGTTTTCACTTCCAGCCTTCATGAACAATAATATATAGGTTATAAGTGATTAAATACAAGATTAAAAGCAGTTATTAAAATTGATGTTGTTTGGAATTGGTAAAATGTGCTTGGAAAAAAATATAAACAGAATATCAACTTGCATAATAATTATGCATGCACTGTACAGTATTTTCCCTCTTCCGCTATCATCAGCAATGCAAAGAATGTTGTGATTGGTTGTCAAGGCAGCCAATCAGAATTTAGCAGCCTCGTCTCTGATTGCCTGGAGTTATGGCATTTTGTAAGGTTGGGTTGTGTTGAGGAAGCCAGCCGTCGGCATTTAGAAAGCACTGAGGGCAGGCATCAGGTGAGCAAGCTAGTGAAACGTTGCACGCGCAAAAGAGAAGGACTGCACACATCCAAAAACGTATTTTAAATGCAAAATTGATTTTAGTGTGCTCTAAATACTTTTTCTTTGCGAAACGAACATTTTCTCCACAAAACTCAGATCGCGCTCATGCAAAATGCACTTTTGTGCGCTCAAAATATGATCTTTCGTGTGCAGAATTGTGACAGAGATCTAATCCTATAATCCTATATTGGTCCCACCTTCTGTTCAGAGGAAAGTACTCAGTGGTTTTTGCGTGGTTCTGTATGCACAGCACTTGGTCACACAACATTTGTGCTAACGTCAATTAGTGCTGAATTTGACTTATTCTATTGTATTTTTTGTTTTAAGTATTTTACTTACATCAATATCCATTTTATATTTTTATTTATTATTATTTATATTATTTATATGAAACATTTTTCTTTGTACTTATGTTTATTTCTTTTATATTATTTGTTCATATCTGTTTGTGTGTGTGTGTGTGTGTGTGTGTGTGTGTGTATTGTATGCAAAATAATCATACCAAATGAGTAAATGAAATGTGCCCAGATCACAGGCAATTTAAATTGTAAATTGTTAAAAACCATATAAACGAGGAAGACCCAATGATATTCCTTTGCTTTTTATTCTTTTTTAGGGGTTCATTGGTCATCTAAAGACAGTACAGGAAAATACAATTAGAAAAAGGTAATAATAATAATTATAATAATAATAAATAATAATAATAGTTTATAAGTATTCTTGCATGTCTGTGAAATGTAAGTAGCCTCAAAGTTGTTCACAGTTCATGAATCACACCTTCCAGGATTAGAACCTACATATTTTAACCACTAACCTGTTACCAATAAATTTTGGATTAAAAATGTCAGTATTACCAATATTGTACATTGAAGCATTGTCCACTAGAGTGTGACATTTGTTAGGTTTACTCAGAATTCAAATTCTGTTGCTGGAGATTCCAGAATCTTAAATAAATATGTTTTTACAATGTAAATAGACATATTATAAAAGTACATTTCTCAGTTACTTTAACATTTAACTTGTTTTGATTTTCGAATAATAATATAGCCTAATAAATTCTAATAATTATTCATTTCAATTCTTTTAAATATTACATTTACATTTCATTTTGATTAGAGTGATTTAAAAATAGTATTTTTAATTAATATACGCTTTTATTCTAAAATAACATCCCTGTAGAGAACCACGGTTCACAACTTCCGGTACTGGGTGGACGTACAGGCGCTTGTAGTCCTACGTCTGCATTACTGTTGGTTTAAGGATGCACAAAAAACTACAATGCTCGTCGTGCTTCTCAGAAGAACTTTACCGTGTTGGTGGGCGTGCGCGTGTCAGTGTACGGATTGTAAACAGAGGTTCTTTCTTATGCTTAGCTTCGTTGGGTTGGAAGTACATATTTGAAAAGTACCAAGGCTGTACATATTTGAAAAGGAACAAGGCTGAATAAGAAATACATAAAAGGAGAACGTGTTCCAGTTACATTATCAGCACTTATTAAATTACAAAATACAAAAGATTAAAGGATAATAAATTATACATCCTTAGTTGTTAATCCAGTGATTTCAATATGAGGTATGAGTTAAAATATCTATAAAGACGCTATTAGCTTACCTGCTATGGACCTGTCATTGCGCAGTTGCAAAAAGTTTGTGCATTTGGACCTGAAAGGGGCACCTCCTAGAATCGGCTACTTAATTGAGGTACAACTTCTTTTACTCTTATATAACTGTTTAAATAATATACGGAATTAACCACGATTATGTTGCTACAGCTGATCCAGTTATTTGCTGATCTTGGTGCCAATGGCTTGCTCGTTGAATATGAGGATATGTTTCCCTATGAAGGAGAGCTGAAAGTTCTTCAATCTACGATTCAGCCTCCATACAGGTGAGTATATATTTTCAAAATATTATTATTAATAATAATGTTTTATGTTATTTTATTTTTAAAAACAATTTGACTGATAAAAATACCCAATATCCAAACAGCCGTGAGGAGATTGTGTCTATCCAGGATGCTGCCAATAGTAGAGGGCTGGAGATCATTCCCCTGGTGCAGACATTTGGACATTTGGAAGTAACTATTAAACATATTTTTGTCATTTACACAGAGGAAAAAATATATATCCATTTGAATTATGCATATTAAAACTCTTTACTATTTTTAAATGTTCTCAATCAGTTTGTCCTGAAGCACGAGGTGTTTAGAGATCTGCGGGAGGTGGACTACTGTCTGGGCACCCTGAACCCACACCGTGATGGAGGAGATAGGCTGGTGCAAGACATGCTACAACAAATCATGAAGCTCCACCCTAAAAGTACCAGCCTGCACATCGGAGCTGATGAGGTACAGCCCAACCCTCTGTCAATAAAATGTCACCTTGTGGCTACAATATAATAATTCCTACAAGTGAACTGTGATTAAAATTTAAGTTTAGGGTGCTAGTTTTATATTGGTCTGTTGATAATAACTTTTTTTTTTTTAATAGGTGTACATGCTCGGTCTTGGAGATGAATCCAAACAGTGGTTAAGTGTTCCAGGTCGGAGTGGTCACCAGCTGTTCCTCAGTCATGTCATTAAGGTGGCAAAGGGCATTCAGGAGAGTTCGCCCAACCTTAAGTTGATCATGTGGGATGATATGCTCAGGTCCATGAGCCCTGAGACCATTAAAGGCGAGCATTTAACATATTTATCACCTGTTTTGGAAAATGATCATGATTTTTTTGCATATAAGAGGAAAGGATGTATTTATTAAATATTTTCATATGTATAAGTGCATGCTTAAAGGGATATTTCACCCAAAAACAACGACAAAAATTCTATGATCGTTTACTCACCTTCATATCGTTCCAAAACAGTGAACCCCATTGACTGAACAAAAAACCCACTTTGTTCAAACGTTTTCATATATAATCTTACAAACTAATTATCTTCTTTTGAATACATTAAATTAAGCTTTTGTATACAGTAGGGGGTTTTTGCAGGTGAGTTTGGAACTTAAAACAAAATTTAAGGGGTTGTTCACTGAGGACGCTATTTTTAAATGGTCAGTCTTTGACTCATGTGACACGTTTCAATGTTTTTCTGGTATCTGGAAAGTGCTCTGCATTCAACTGTTCTGTTCCATTCCACAGAGCTGCATCTAGCTGCTTTTGAAGAGTGAATATAGTGACACTTCCCTTCAGTTGCTTTTTACATGCTTATGATACTATCACCTTCACTGGGCAAAAATATCTTACTTAACTGTTCCACATCCTCCACATTGACTCAACGTGAAATGAAATGAGTCAAATGGAAATCTTATATAAGAAATTACCAAATCAATCTAAAGTCTATGCCAAATGAATTATATTGCATTTTCCAATTCACGGCTATCACTGTTATACTGTATATACACTTTTTTGCATTATACTAACAACAATTTCTATCCAATGTATGATCTTATTCTAGAGAGTGGTCTTGTTGGATTAGTGCAACCAATGTTGTGGGATTACAACCCAACTCTGGATGTGGATAACACTGGTAAATTGGGTCAGTAGATTAAAAATGCACTTTTCAGTTTTGAGTTATTTGGTCTTGAAAATGCTTGATTATTTTACATTTACTTTTCCAGTCATGCTAATGGAACGGTATACGTCTGCGGGTATGTCACAGCAGTGGGCCGCTAGCTCTTTTAAAGGCTCGACCACTGTGCACACCTGTGTGACCAGCACTCAGAGACATGTGGACAACCATTTGCAATGGCTCAAAGTGGCATCCAGCCTGTCAGCTGACATTGAGCTACAGGGAATTGCACTAACTGGATGGCAAAGGTTAGATGACATCTGGACTATCACTAGAATCGCAGTTGTCTTACTAGAGACAACAACATGTATGTTTCTTTTTTTCCTCTTAAGATATGACCACTTGTCCGTTTTGTGTGAGCTGATGCCTGTGGGTTTGCCCTCTTTGGCGTCCTGTTTGCAAACTCTTGTGCACGGTCAGTCACTTTCATTTTCACTCCTTTACATTTCTTTTTTTTTTAGTACTAGAGAAGGATGATACATTGATGGCAGTATATACATATTAAGAATGCTAAACTCACTATTGCTGTTCACTGTGATTAAGGTGGCTTTACTGAAGAGGCTCAAAAGAAGGTGGTTAAGACACTTGGTACTGTGGATGTAGGAGACACTGAGAGGTATCGTACATTCATAGTCATGCCCTGAAAGATAAAAAGCATGTGTGAGTGTAACACTAATAAACCTCAAGGGTTACTTTTAAATAGACTCATTTACAGAATATTCTTTGGCCTGTGTGTCCTAGATTGTCTTCCAGGACGTCTTGCTCCTTTGCTGGGGCAAAACTAGCTGAACTCATAGTGAAACTGACGTCTTTGCTGGAGTCTACAGAACTGAGACATTTTCAGAACAATATGTGAGTTTAGGGCTACTAAGGTTTTATTTTTAAAAGATGGGTGTGCAGTTAATGCTAACTTTTCACCAAATATTTGTATTCATTCTTGCATAATAGGTTTGTGAGGGGCTGGTTCACACCCTACCACAAGCAAAAGAAGACAGTTAGCCCACTTATTGCACAACAGATTAAAACACAAGCAAAAATGTAAGTCTCTTATTATGTATACGCGACCGTTCAAAAGTTTGTGGTTGCTCAGATTGTTTAATGTTTTTGAAAGAAGCATATTGTGCTCACCAAGTCCGTATTTATTTGATCAAATATGCAGTAAAAACAGTAATATTGTGAAATGTTATTACTTTGATATAACTTATAATTTTAAATAACTGTTTTCAATTTTAATGTATTTCAAAATGTAATTTATTTTTGTGATGCAAAGCTGAATGTTCAGCAGTCATTACTCAGCAGTCTTCAGTGTTACATGATCCGTCAGAAATCATTCTAATATGCTGATTTGTTAATTATAATCAATGTTGAAAACATTGTGCTGATTAATATTTTTGTGATACACCATGTGTCTTATTAATGTGAATTTTTAACAAGGTTCTTATGATAGGATATATCCCTATTTTCCCTCTCATCTCCTCCAACAGGATTCTTGATGCCGTGGAGAGCCAGGTGCAAGAGGTGAGAGGAGAGATGTGTCTGCTGTACTTAGACTCTACAGTTCAGGAATGGGTGGTTCAACACGTCACCCCAGTGCTGGAGCCACTGCACAACCTACTGAGAGACACTGAAACTGTTTTAAATGAAATGGGACTTTGTACTGAATCCATATCTTAAAGTTGGTCAATACGTTTCATTTGAAAACTTTCTTTGGTTGCATTCAAGCTAGACTGTACTTGCAGTGCAATATAAAACAGAATGTAACAACTTAGAAAGCTTGTGTTTGTGAATCACAGTTGTATTAATTTAAAACAAAGTGCAAACATAATGTTGTTTTGTAATATGTAATGAAATGTTTAATTTAAAATGATTACCAACCAATATGTACATAAATTCAACAAAAATCTCCCATTCTGGCTTTCTGTGCTGAATAAATCTTAAAATGTTTCTTTCTTTTTCAGCAG